TTACCCCTTGTCCTATCATTGTTTGTCACCGAGAAGAGCCTGGCTCCATCCTCGTGACACTCACCCTTTAAATATTTATGAACATGAATGAGGTCTCCCCTCAGTCTCCTCTTCTGCAAACTAAAGAGCCCCAGCTCCCTCAGCCGCTCCTCATAAGGGAGATGCTCCACTCCCTTGATCATCTTTGTAGCCCTACGCTGGACTCCCTCCAGCAGTTCCCTGTCCTTCTTAAACTGAGGGGCCCAGAACTGGACACAATATTCCAGATGCGGTCTCACCAGGGCAGAGTAGAGGGGGAGGAGAACCTCTCTTGACCTGCTAACCATCTCCCTCCTGATACACTCCAGGATGCCATTGGCCTTCTTGGCCACAAGGGCACAGTGCTGGCTCATGGTCATCCTGCTGTCCACCAGGACCCCCAGCTCCCTTTCCCCTACACTGCTCTCCAACAGGTCATTCCCCAATTTATACTGGAACCTGGGGTTGTTCCTGCCCAGATGCAGGACTCTGCACTTCCCCTTGTTATATTTCATTAAATTATTCCCTGCCCAACTCTCCAGCCTGTCCAGATCTTGCTGGATGGCAGGACAGCCCTCTGGCGTGTCAGCCACTCCTCCCAGCTTGGGATCAATACACAAATCTTGGCAGGTCTGTCTCTGTCCTACTTACTTACAAGGTGAGCTCTAAGGGGACTTTCCAGAGGTTCTTAAATCAATTTGTTACCAAATAGAGGGGAAATTTTGAGTGATTTCCCAAATCGCTTTTGACAGCTGCCTTAGGGCTCACAAAAATGCTTTCCAAAAGGGCAGTTGTCTCACTACAGATGTATTTATAGATATCTAGATACAGTTGTTTCTCAGTCACATATAGTCTACATCTACACATGCAAACACAAAAGCAGACTCCGACGCCTATATCTCAAGCTGCATAAAGATTCAAGAATTTTTAGAAAAATTTCCTTGGGCACATACTAGCAGTTTTCTTTCAATTCATGTAAGAAAATTATATATTAAGTTCTTTGAAGAAGGGACTGTAATTTCTGATATATTTTTACACTGCCTACTATGTTGTAGGCCCATTTTAGCTGAGATGATGGGACAATACTACTGGAGAGATTTGTAATATCAGAAGCTGATCACTGTGGTGTAAATGTCAAGCTGCTAAACATATTTGTTAGAAAGGAAATATGAATGTTTTCCAAATGTACACTTCTCAGTTGGTGCACTATATAATTTTATTTCTCTCATTTGTTTATTCTTCTGAGAAATTATTTGGCTTTGGGTGAAAAATACAATAGGCTCTGGAGTCCTTCACTTATTTCTGCAAGAACATTTGATTCTTGTCCACAGGTTCTGTAGAACACTTTGGGAGAATGAGGTTAAAATGTTGGAGATGCTTTATTATTCCCTGAAAAGAGACTGCCAGAATTCAACTTCCTAGTCTAATCTGCCATGGGTAAATTAGGGATCTTGTAAAAAGTTAACTCTAACATTTCAGTTGGTGTTAAATGTTTCTTCCCCATTGCTTGGCTTTTTTTCATCTGAATCCACTGAGCATTTTGCTAGCTTTAACAGCCTGTTAAATGGTTAATTCACACCAGATTAACCCACATGACAAAAGGCAGTAGAAAAACTGGATAAAATTAATAGTGTACAATGTTTCTTACCTCCTGTAGTTTCATTGTGGACAAGATAACTTCTGTACATCAGCACTATTTCAATCCAGTGCTGGTAAATCAAGGCAGTGCATAAAAGGAATGCAAATAGAGTAGAAATGGCACTGTATAGTACGTATAAAAGAAACACTGTAGAAAGAAAAGAGTCTATCATAACTCAGGCTTTCCAAAATACTGTTGACACTTAGATGAAAAACTCAGTCCAGGAATGGGGGCAAACCATCTCACAATCTTCATTCTTGTCCTGCTGGCAATCTTTAGGGAAGTCAGGAATTCATTTACCTTAACATAGAGTTTCAGTCTACCATCAGGGACATTTTTTGAATGGTATCTCCTTGAAGGTATGAAAAACCAATCTGTGATGGAAGGCACAGAGAAAACACTCTGTGGTACACTCAGCAGTGCTGAAAGAATTCACGGCTTGAGATGGAAAAGTCACATCAGCATACACATAGCTACACATAGAGCCCTGCTGGAGACTTCCTGTGCCACTCCAATGATGAATCTTCACTTTGAACTATGGTTCAACAGTTAAATTTCCACATTGATTCTGTTTTTGACCTTTGCTTGAAAGGCTACCACATTCATATCAGTTATGGTAACTTCTTAGAAATGTGCATGCTAAGGACAGGGGAAACAAACAGAAGTGTTCTATGGAAATCACTATTGCTTTCAACAGCTGCTCTGCTTCAGTTTAGCAGATTGCCTATTAATTCTCAGAGATGCTACTCTCTTCTTCCTCCCAGTTACTCTCCAGCTTCCACTTGGCCCACCTGTCTGCAGTAAGTCCCCAGGTACCCCCATCCTTCTGAGTAGTCCTCAAAATAATGTGCCTTTCTAGACATCTGACAAATCAAGCTTTTCCCATCCAGCTTCAAGAAACCTCTGCAGCTGGCTAAAAAACCCAGTATCAGCGAGGAATGAATTTGTAGCAGTGAGTAAATCTGGATATGTCTTCAAGGACAAATAGTCATCCATCGATAGTTTTACCTCTCTGCTTTCTTTTCAGCTGGATCACAGCGGTGGCATTCCCCACTGAATTCTCAGCAAAGCACGTGAAGTTGCTTCTGAGGTCCCTTTCGGTAACTTCTTTCAGTTTTGCAACATGAAGCAGTGTGTATCCCTTTAAACCTTTTGTACAAACACTAAAGAGAAAAAAAATATCTATTTGCATTATATCTTTGCTGTTCATTCACACAATTCTCAAATGCCTTAAATACAAAGAAAGAGGAGTTTGCAGCTTCTTCACATGTAGCTTGAACTTTTAACAGCAGGATACTATTCTGGTTTGGAACTTCTGTTTGGTTTTTACATTGTGAGAAAATACTAATATCAAAGGTCTGCAGACTGAAAAGTTTATTCTTAAGTCATCAAATCAGCAAAATGCTTAAGCACTTGCCTATTTTAAAATATATAACCCCCTTTGACTTCTGTAAGATTATCTGTGTTTTTCTAAAATGGGAGGTGGGGGAAATGAAACTTCAAAAAGAAGCCCTAAGAGGGGACTAGCTGGGCAAAAAGCCTGAGAAGCACAGTCTTTTGCACAGGGGCAAAAAGCTCAAGGACAGGAAGCACACAGAATAAGACAGATATAAGGGATGGAAGTACAGGAAATGAAGAGGTAACAGGAATCCCTTTGGGGCTGAGCAAGGGTTGAGGGGAACAGATGTGTGTCTGCAACCACTCAAGAGCGTGGGTTTCTGAGTCTCAGCATTTCTCTTTGAAAGCCACAAGTACAGGCATCTCTGGGGGGTCCCAAAGGCGCCTCACATCATGCCACTGCAGAATGACAGTGTACCATAGCCCTACCTCTGCTACGTCAAGATAGACAGGCATGAGCATGGGCAAGGATTCAACCTGTACTGAAAGTCTATTGGGAATGTTTTAATCATTTGGATTTAAAAAAAATAAACAAACATAATTTGTACGCATGCAAAAAGCTAAAAACTTGGTAAGAAGAACATTGCAAAGCTAAACATTCAGAAGTGAGGAAAATTCAATTTCTAGTCTACCTCATGAGTGTGTGCATATGTGTGTGTGATATCATCATTTGTTATTTTTTTCCCATATGACTCCTATTAAGAACTTGATTTTAGCAGTGGCAGCAGGACTTTCGCTTCCCCTGGTGTACAGAAGTTTTCCAATGAAGATAACTCAGGGCTGTGCAGTGAGAAAGCCAAACTTGCCTGTGTTGCCTCCACTATGTTTCCTGCTCAAGTTGGACACCGCATAAGTGAATGAGACAGGGAAGTACAGGAAGGAAAGGGAAGCATGGTGACAATTTGGGTTGTCCTCAAGTCACAGGAAACCTTTCCCCTACATGTTGCTTCTCTGTAGGGTCTGGTTAATTCTTGCCAGAATCAGAGTCCTGAAATTGAGTGCTGTGAGTCCTCCAACTGACTCAATGAACACACTCCGACATCAAGAGGCACCCAAACTCCTTTCAATGTCAACGGTACTGTTTTCCTGATCTGGTTTATTCTCCGCTTGGAGGCAGCTTCCAAAGACAGATTGTGTGAGTTGCTAGAAAGGCACAACAGAGGGAACACTTGAAAACAGCTGATGCAGGCACAGGCAACCAAGCACCATTCATGTTGAACCTGTCCATGAGCTAAAGCTTTAGGAAGAAGAGTTAAGATTGCACAGAAAGTTTGAGTTCTTAACTTTATGGCCATCAATACGTGCTTCTGTATATGAAATGCATATGCCTGTCACATGCTCATGGACATATACATTAATATGTTGAAGAACAGGGCCTTCTGAATTTCATCCAGAAAAACATATTTAGTAAAGCTGTTGTAAAAGGATTTATAAAGTTGTTGACTGTAGTAGTAATCAAAATACTTGGTTTTTTTCTTACCTTGTTTCCTGATTCAATTTCTCATTTATATTTTCTTTGTTCTTTCTCTTCCATGTTATCCTCAAAGAAGAAACATTTTCAAACCCAAACTGTACACGGCATTCCAGTTCAAGTGGCTTTCCTGGAACAAATTAGCACAGGAAAACCATGCATGGAGCTCACCAGAATATTTTTCTTTTAAATAGCCTGGAATCTGTATAACACATGTTGCTTCCTTTAATATCCACAAAGACATACGTCAAGAAAAAAACTACATTTTATATAAAATTCTCATACTCCTAGAAAGCAAAGCTGTTTTGCTTTATCAAGACCTATCATTATCTATCAATACATCATTTAAACATTTTCTTTCACTTTCAGATAAGAAATCAAAACTTACCAAGCTCTGCTTCGAGGATCACTACACCATTGGGATACAAGAAGTTTGGTGGATGGATAGTGTTTTTTGCTGCAATTAACAGGAATACTGTTAATATCTATAATGCTATAATCAATGCAGAAGACCAGACACAATATCTTACAGAATTTTTTTTCTCAAATGTTAAGTGGAATTTAGACACCTAAGTTCAAGAGGATGATTTACAGTCATTGAGATGTCTGAGAGTGCACAGATGAGGGAGTTTTGACCACAGAACTTCTGTAGCTACTTAAAGATCTGCTATCTCAGTTACTCTGAGGCATTGCCATCTTACATGAGCTGAGGAGCTCAGCATCTAGCCTGCGCATAAGGTTATTTAGGATTCAGAAATTAGAGCCTTCCCTTGCAAGACTCCCTGAAGAACTAAACCCTTATATCAGTTCCCTGCCAAGCCCATTAAGTCCCATGCTCGGTAAGCACACATATAGCACACACACCTCATTCATAAACACAGGTACTTGCATTAAAATAACCATGCTTTTTTTCAAAACAAGGGCTGTCAAAGGACACAGATAATAACGCCCACAGTTGGTACAATCTACTAAGCAATTACCCAGCTCCGGAAAAACAGCCTGAAGGGGCTAAAACCCACAGCTCTGACATTCTAAGAAAGTCCCATACTGCAGGAAATGATGCCACACGACACCAAACCACAGCAGAGAAATGTGTGCAAGGTTCAGGAGGAGTAGATACGTATATGGCACCTTTCAAGTGTTTTTCTGACTGTGCTATGAGGTGAGGAATAAGAACTGAGAAGCACAGTGTATTAGTTCAGGTTCAGTCAGATCAGAGTAAAAGCAGAGCTAGTCCATGCCTGCTTGGAAAATATTGTGGGAATATAGCCAGAGAGAAAAGTGAAAGACTTTGCAGCCCAGCACATAGAGGTCTCAAAAGTTGGTGAAATGTGGTTTCCAGGCCTTGTCCTGATGGAGTGTATAGATTTTTGCCATGACATCTTAGTATCAAATGTATCAAACGCCTGCAAAAAAGACACCAGCTATTTCAGAGGAGTGCTGTCCTCACTAGACCATGGAATTTGACTGGAGTGACTGGAGTGTCTGATGAGAACATCTTAAAACACTCAACCACAGATATCTGGAGAAAGCAAATCTATATCTCTCTTTTAGCAAACTAAACAGAGCTTCTCTTGTCCCTGATCCTGAGTTGCTAGTATCCTCCCTTGCACAGTGCTGACATGCACTCTGCCAGGCAATATCTGGGCTTCACCTGAAGGGCACCAGAGGGCAGTAAATATTATGGAAAACGTCACCATGATTTGAGTGCTTTGAATGAGGACATGCCATATCACTGTGCCATAGAGTTCTGGCCAGTTTTATTTAGTAATGCATACAAAGCCTAAAAGAACAGGTTATGCAGACAGTGATGCTTTCCCGCAAACAGCTCATGCAACAACAAATGGCTTGTTTGTTTGTTAGATTGCTCACAGGTCTTCTATTTCCTTCCCCGTCACTCTCAAGTGAAAAAAATAAAGGCCTCATCCATGCCACAAGGGACAATCCTTTTTTTATCTAACTCCGACTTTCACATAAGCCTCTACTTCAGGGACAGAGGTAGGATTGAGATACTCTGCTTTTGTCCACATTTCCCATGCAGGATTAGCACTCCTTCCTCCTAGTATGTGAATAACTTCCTAACACTTCCCATACATGGAGAACACTGTCACCAGTTGGTGTTTCATGAATTCTACTCCCAGATCAAGAGATCTAAATACTTTTGTAGATTTGATCCCCACTGTTAGGAACTACAGTAAATCCAAGGCAAAATTAGATCTTGAAAATGATGGCATTGCATGTTAGAGGTTAACATTGGAGGTTCTAGTCAATGTCCCAGGATGTCCTCAGAATACTTGGAAGAGAATTTTAATGATTGCGTTGCTAATTCAGTTTATGCTTTTTTTTGGAACAAGAGCCTAAGCAAAAGACATAAATGGGGTAGGAAAGAGAAATACCTTTACTTCAGTTATTTTATTCTGAGTTATTATATTACTCACCAATGACTTCTACTGTTACTGCTGTTCTCATTGTCCACTTGGTAGTGTTGTCATATAGAGTGTAATCACACACATACGTTCCAGCATCTTTGTCATAGGTTGGATTCAAGTAGATTTCATTATGCTTAAGCTTTAGGCTTTGTCTGCTCTTCCTGTGTTTTATCTGATGACCATCCTAATGAAAAGAAAAGAATATAAAGGAATTAGAAATCCTTTTTGTTGTTGTTATTATTGCTGGTTTTATATTATATTTTAAGATATTTGGATAGGATTACCATGGCACTTTTTCTTTGATATATTTCATATTTTCAGAATTTAAAATGTCAAAACAAAACTTAAAATTTAAAATTTCAATCATATGTCAGTTTTGTAAAGAACCTATTTTGATTCTCAATTACTTTAATCTCTTAGCTGAAGAGAAAGCATTTCTAGGCTTCCATTTCATGGAATAATATTTTGGGAGTGGCAAATTTCTTCAAAATTTTTACTTTAAGACTCAATACATAACAATTTGAGATTCTGCTTTTGGATTGAACTGCTGAGTCTGCATTATCTGCCAAAAAAGGGTTCAAGAACCTATGACACGTGAGTATTAACTAGACCTAAAGCTATACCTCCACTGAGCTTTTTCAAATGCTCAGGAGACTCTTACCTTGTACCATTTTACATCTGGCTTTATTATATGGCTGAAGCATTTTGTTCCAGGGCAAGTTATTGAATTCCCAGTGCCAGCAAGAAGATATAGAGTATTTTTGTCATAACCTGAACATTTTGCTGCAGCCTTTGTTTGAACCTCCAAAACAATTTTGAGACATGGGACTTCTTCCCTGCGTGATGCAGAAAAATAAGTTAAACATTTAATACATAAAACAAAACAATTAATTCTTGTATAGAAATATAAACCTTTTGCTCTGTTACATACCATATCACACAGATGTACACTCCAGAATCACTGTCCCTTACTGGTTTAAACCGAAGTGCATCCCCTTGAAGAACAAGATTAGAGCTTTCCTTGATAGCCTTCAGTGGCTCTTGACCTTTCTGATGCCAGAACCATTTCACTTTATGCTGTTTAAGAAGTGAGTTTTTATAAATATGGGTAGTATCTCTACCCGGTAAAGCGCATTGTAAAACAAACTCCTCATCACTAATCGCACGATATCGTATTTGAGGTTCGACATGGGAACATCCTGAAAAGTAGGACAATAAGATATCAGTACCACCTGAAAGAACATACTGTAATTATGTTTAAAACAAATAATTAGGAATACTACAAAAATACAACTTTACCTTTTTTGTGTTAAAGAATTTTTTATGCGACCAGATGCTGGGCTAATAGAGAAGTTATTTCCTTAAACGTAGAATTTGCCAGGGTTCTCAAAAGTTTATTCTAAGGTTTCAAAAGGTTTATTAGGCCTTTTTCAAAATCCTAACATGAAAATAGCTGATGATTTTTAGTGAACCAAAGATTTTCACATGGGCGCTAACCTGTTAAACCTTAACTCTGTAGAAAAGGAGATGCAGTTTTTCTAGCTCTCCTCACATTAATGGAGAAGGGACTGACATAAACCCAAAGAAGCAGAGCCTGCCTACGACACTCCCTATTTAGAGTAAGACTGACAAGCATTACTGTCTCACTGCTTTCAAATCTTCCCCCTATTATGTTTCAGTTACTGTCAGTAAAATTAAGCAAACTTTTGGATTCTGAAAGCTGTGGTCACCCATCCTAACCCTGAATTCTCTAAAGGCTGACTGACTTTGCTGCGTAACCCCTCCTGCCAGTCAGGATGTGGTAACCCTTGAAAGTATGGCAGGATTTCACTTCGGCAGAAGGGAGGGCATGAAATCTTCAGTTCCTCGCCTGCCCACCTGTGGGACTCTGCAGTTTCAGTTTCTTTCTGCAAACTGAATTGGATCAAGCTCTTCCAGATAGATTGTGTGGGTGGAAGACTTTGATATACTGGTCTCAACTTGCCTTTCTCTTCCTTCTCTCCCCCACCTCAAAAGGCTTGGACCAGCTGCTGGAGACTTCAAGGAGTCACAGAAGCAATTAATTTGTTCTCTTCAGTTCTCAGAAATTCTCCTTTATATATTCCCTTTTCTTTTCATTAGGAAACTGAATTTTTATCATATTTAGGGTAAACTGTATTACCAGTACTTAAAAAGCATGAAGAAAGCCTAGAAACAGCTGTTTGCCTGACACAACCATGAACAGGTGCAGGAAAAATTCATGAAGGCACGGCAAAATGCAAATCCACTTTTCTCAGCTGTCAGAAAGCACCACAAACACCAAACCTCACCAAAGCAGACTCTCACCTGGCAAGTTAATCTCTCTAACTTCTGTCACACTGACAAACAATGCTAGGATCCAGCACAAAGTGAGCATGGCTTGCTTTATCAATTTTGGTTGATATTCTGAGACATTTTCTTTAAGAATCATCTTGCTTTCTGTAAAAGAGGAAAACAGGTGGTTTTTTTAAATAATATTCCAGTAAGATAGATAGGCAGTTACATATTTTATTATGTAGCTCTGTAAGATATAGCAGACAGCATTTCCTAGATATTGTGCTTTTTAAAAATGGGGTTTGCAGCATTTTTCCTGCTCATACAAATTCACACAAATACAGGATAGATGATCTCCAAGAATATGCAACAGTCTCTTTAAATACATCTTGCATCACGTTGTTCATAGATGGATTTCCAAGTTATACCTACAGCAATGCAGAACTCCACATCTGGAGTGGAAATGCAGGTCTTTCAGCAGCTACTGCTGTTATAAGAGGAACCTGTCCTCTAAGATGAGAGATAAGATGCTAAATAACAAAATCACCCTTTAATGACAACTATCAGCAACAGACTGAGAAAACCATAACTAATGACTACTATCAGTAACAGACTGAGAAAGCCGTAAGTGATATCAAAATCCATGGAATTCTGTTGTATCTTGAAAGCCAACAGGTTCAGAGAGAGTAAACTGATTTTCTTTGGGATTAAACCAAATGTGAGGATGTGCTGCAGCTGCAAATGGCATTAGGTCCATGGGACTGGAGTAGAACTATGAAGTAAAACTCTCAAAGCATGCACTGTGTGGACACTGGGTCTTTGATTCTAACTTTTTCACCCAAGACATGCTTCTTTTGGGCTTTATTACCAGCTAAAATGGACATACCATAAGACGTCCACTAGGGTCAGCAAAGCAACCTAAAAACCCCTTCTTCTCCTCCATGACTTACCTGCGTGTGCAGTATGAGGCCTCCCTTCTGCATCACAGTGCCACGCGCTGCTTGAACGACCCTAGCAGAGACCTAATCCACACCATCTTAAGGTATGAGCTCTGTGGTATGCCATCTGTGAACTGGGACTGGGAACACATCGGGGATTTGGGAGCAGGTCCACAAAGCATGCAGCTGCACCCAGATCCCTGTATTACAGCATCCTATCCAATGTGAAATTCCAGACCTTATAGTATGAAGTGCTTTGCCCCTCCTACTAAGAGGTCTGATCTGTGTCCTGCAGCCTTCTCAGCCACAAGGCTAGAGGGAAGTGAGGCTGTCTAGTATGCATACTCAATAGCCATGACTTAATTTGAGTATTTAGTAAGAACACATCCAATGTCTATGATTGACATGTCTGGCGTGCTTGATTCAGGATCTCAGTGAGTAAAGGCTGATGTTCACATTGTGCAACTGAGACCTCAAGGAGCTTTTTTCTTTCTTTCTTTGGCCACAGAGTGACTCTGCATTTGCACAGCTGCCAGACAGGCACTGAGTCAGCCCAAGAGAGAAAAATAAAAGATCAGGCAAAGGCAAGTCCCTTGTCCGTGGGCGTCTCATGCAAATCAGACACGACTCACACAAGCAGGCAGCAAAAGAGCATCCACGCACACTAAGCTTGCAAGAGAAGTGCAGATACCTCCCACTCTGCACTTTTCCAGACAGCTGTTCTGTGTAGAGAGGAGCACTTTAGTCATCATTCTTTTCAGCACGTCTCTATTCCTTGCAAGTGGACGGAATGATCTATTTTTATGCTCAGAGGTCACAGGGAGTAGGTTAACTCATCTTAACCCATCCTGGTGCTTTGTTACAAATTGGCTGATGTCAACTGTCATGGCCTTATACATCTTTCAAAATAATCCTGAAACTACCAAGCTAATACGTAAATCTGAATAAAGAGACAGTTTCCTACTAGCACTCGGCAACCCCCCACCCTAAACTTACATAGATTAATGGATCCTGACTCTTGAATCTGAGTTTATGACAATCATAAAGACCTATCTCAAGACATTCATTAGGGTTGTATCTCTAGCCCTATTAATACAAAGGATGATATTTTGAGTTATGTCACCCAACAGCCCACATGGCAAGGCATACTGGTGGCAGTAAGCAAGACGGACTTAAGGGCCTTGTGTGTGACTCAGTGCTGCAGTCCCTTGGACAGGTGAGCAGATATAATGGGTCACTGATGTAAAAAAGGGAAGGTCTCATCTACTTCTCCATCCTTCTCACTCCCATCTCTCTTGATCCCCGGCAAATGGTACAGCCCTCCCCTGTGACAGGTCTGGTCCTTTCCAGTGACTCATTCAACCTGTTAAGCCATCTGAAGCTTCCTGAAGAGTGCCTGACCTGGCACAATATAAGCAGTGGAAGCATTTACTTCCCAGCTGCCTGTTTGTCTGTAATTTGAGACACACAAACTACATGTAGTGAAATCACATTAAGTGATCATTCACAAAACATTTAATAATGCCAATGATGTATAATCTCTTTGTTCTCCAGTTTACTGCCATGCTAACAATGTCCTCTTCAAATTCAAAAGGTCACCATGAATGGGGAAGTGTGAAAGGGAGTGTTAACTAATGAATGCTGTAGTGTTGGCTAGCAATCTGTATAATTTTCTGTTGTCTTTCACTAGTTATGGGAAAATACACCACTGCCAATTTTTTTTTTTTTTTGCAAACTGATACCTCTTTTATTAGAGAAACTCAGAAAATTTGCATTTTTATAGTGCTTAAAAATATGGCAGTGTGTGAAGTTAAAAATTCTTGTCTTGCAAGTGTTCTTGAAAGGAAGAGAGTGATTACCAAAGGAGAGGGTACCTGAAACAGGATAACCTTAAACTGACCATTTAGATCTGTTTGCACTGCAGGTGAACTCAAGGTGATCAGTGACTCAATATATTCAGTGATTCATTTTATCTTGGTCAATATCTGCCAGAAAAAGTAAGTACTCTACTCTGGGCAATGCATTATCAAGAGTCACTCCACCTTCTCCTGCCATGTACTCACCCGTATTATTATTTCCTTGGTCTAGGGATTTGGGATGCCATTTAATTAGAAAGTACCTTATACACAAAGGAAACTAATGTGGTCTTAGAATAATTTCTTGTGGTAAAAAAATGTAAGAGAAAATAATAATAACTGTGTTATTTTGCCTATGTTTAAACTCTTAGACTCTCAAAAGAAAATAGTATATCTCTATTTCATAGCATTTTGTTTGTATTTACAAAAAATATAAGCAAAGGAAATCAAAATCAATTTCTTGAGAGCTTCACCAAGTTTCATGATATTTCTGATATCTAGTAATGAGTGGCATGCCACAATCTTACAATCTACTATTCTGATTCTGATGAAAATCACTTCAGCGTCAGAGCTATCAATTCCTATGTCTTGTATTGGACTTACATTAATGGAAAGGTAAACATAATCTGGTTATAGGAGTAAAATTAGTAATAATAACACAGGAGAAGAATAAACCTCTATCATATCTATAAAGCAAAAAAAAAATATCTACTGAAGCTACTTGCTAAGACAGTACTGTTTTGTCTGACCAAGCAATTAAAACTGATTTACTTTAAAAAGCACATTCAAAGACAATAAAACCAACTCACCTGTCAAGCAGATGGGGTAGGGAGGGCTAAAATCTGAAGCTAAAAAAAAATAACTTGAAATCTTAACCTGCACATCCTACTCTACACAGTAAGAATTGTGGTTAGCTCTAGCTGTGCACTGTGTTGAATCTTGTTTCCTTTACAGGAATTTCCTCTACCTCACTGTCATCACCCCTTCCTTTCTCAGTTTAGTTGTGTTAGGTTCAAAATTTCTGGGTCATTTTCTTGTAAAAAGAACAGGGGAAAAAGCTTTGGCCCCAGTAAAAGATCAAAGCCGTTTGGGTTCTAAAAGCTTCTATTCACATAGTGTGCAAAAATGCATTGGACCTTTTAGTTTGCTTCATTTAAGAGGAGTAAGGGTGCTACTAGATGGTTGAAAAAAGTGTGTAATATCCAAAATCTATGTAATACTGAGTAATATGCACTGTAAGAGTTGAGTTTGCCTTACCCTTAGTCTCCTCAGCTACTTTCCATGCCCACTGCAAGTGGGCATTATAAGGGGGCTGTGACACACTATTACTTTCTATCTGTGTCCTCCCAGTTAAGCCTTGTTGATTACCCAAACTCAGCTTTGGCAGAAAAAGAGAAACCCTGATGAATCTGGCCTGAGACTTGCCCCACAGACCTGCTAGGCAGGCAGAGCGCGTATGCACGGTCCAGTCCCTCTTCCAGGCTTCCTGTATGGGTGCAAAACCTGAAAAAGGCAGGCTGTATGGTGACTCAAACTACATAAGAGCATCTGAGAGCACACTGTCATCAATTCAGGCCCTAGATCTTTCTATTTTAATAGAGGTTATGTAAATATATAGGTTCATCTGTTTGCACCAGACTTATTTAAAGAAGAGTAGGACTTGTCTCTTCTTTCCTTCAGTGAAGTTCACTCTCTTTACTGCAGATTGTGTCAATTAGTCTATTTCTACAACAAGAAGCTAAAAACGGCTTTTTGCTGTATAAGAGGGATTTCAATGTTGCCTCTGTTCATATACACATTCCTTTATGCAATGACCAGTATTAATGCTTGATTCGTTCAGGTTCTGAGCATTTCAGGATACATGACTTGTATGCTCAGCTTCCACCATGTATTCAGCTCTCTGCTCTCTCCAGAACAGAGCCCACTGATGATCAAGCTTGGTGATTGTCTCCTAAAATATTTTCAGTACAAAATATATGTTTGCTTTATAAGTTACAAAAGAGTCCATTGTAACTCTCTAGATTTTAGTATAAAGAGTTAAGCTTTTTGAAGGTGTCCTGACTAGGGGGAAAAAAAAAATTACTTTCCTCTTCCCTTGAAGGACTTACAGAGTGCAACACAGATAAAGTCAAGCCCATGTTGCTTTCAAGCCAGTGGTTGGACTATCAGGGAGAGAAGATGATTCTTTCCCAAATATGTATCTTACAGACACAAAAGATACATTCTTCATTTTAAGTTCTAATTCCCATATTCTCCAAGTAATAGGTTTATTACATTCAAAAAATTTAGTAGAGCAGTCCAGCTGCTGGACCAGATCTTAGAAATATAACAGAAGCACAAGTTACAGAGTTTTGAAAGCCATGCTGCCAGAGGACTGAGTGGTATATCATACTAGTTACCATACTGGACAAAAATCTTGTCAAATAGTACCAAATATCTGTCTTAGCCTCTTCTCCAATCCACTCCTTCCTCTTTTGTAAAAGTAATGTATATGCTAAACAAGCAGCCTCACACACCTGTACTTCCCAGATTCATATTTATCCTTTGCTGCTAGAGCAAGTTTATAAAGGAGGGGGTAAAGGACCACTTCAGAATACCCTCTCTGACTTCTCTTTCTTCCCTCTCTCTCCTCCCCCACACCTTTGCACTCACACATTTACCATATTTTATGCTACAGCTCCAGGAAACTCTGCCTCCCCACCCCTGCAGAAAGTCAAGGTGATGGTCCATATCTTACCTTCTCCATCTCACTTGTGCTCAAGCATTCTGCCAGCCAAGAAGCAGGGGAGAAAACACACCATCTCAGCATGTATGCAGTGTAGCCTTATAATGCTGGGAGGATTACATCTCTTTAGTGTTCTGGTACTATTCTGGCTTCACAAATTTACACATCATCTCCTCCTCTGCCCAGCTATGGTTAACACCAAATGGGTAAGAAACTTTCCACTCCGATTAGCTTCTACACTGAATCAGTGGTGTCAGTTCTTCTGTCACAGGAGGTATCTGAACAATATCTAAACACAAACTTCTGTCCATTTTGTGCTAGGTTATACAGTCAGTGAAATGGCATATAGTCAAGGGTGGCTCATGGAGCAGTGGGGTAACATCTTTTACTTCTCATTGAAATAAGGGAAAGTGCTGTTACTTAG